AAATCTTTTTCAAAATCTGCCATCCCTTCCCCTCCCTCAAAAGTCTAATGGATCGCCCCTAGTTTGGGAAGAGACACCGCAGCAGCCAATTACTGCGGACCCTGTACTCTTACACTCACTACCTCGACATTAAGCACACAGCACTCCTCACATGTTGATTTTGCTGAGGGAAGAAAACCGGAGGATCCGGCGGAGAAAAACCCTCGTGGCAAGGGAGAGAACAACAAATCAAACAAACTCAAACTCAAATATGGTCCGTGCCCGTATAAACCGAGTAATAGTTTTTGTGAGAGCGACGATTGCACCACCGAAAGTCATGGTGTATGTTTGCTTTTTGATGAAAAATGATTCCCTCAACTCCAGAAAAGCACAGCCAAAACCAAACAAACCAAAAGATATCTATTTAATAGAGAAATAACAGCATTGAAGCCTTCGGTGAATAAATATTGCCATTAATAATCAGTTATCTTACTTGTAAAATCATTTCTTGAAAGCAGTTGATGTAACCAAACATTCCGACGTATGAAGATCCACCGCCTTCAACCACGTACGCGGGGGATTTGTGTTTATTTCTACAAAGAACCAAATTTAGACTTTTTTATATAAATATAATTAGTTTATACGTATACTACTGCCATAAGGCCCCTTTACACGATTTTTGAAGCCCGATTATCGGGGCGAATGTCGCGCAACCAACACCTGAGTTTCGAACATGATTGAAAATTGGCTGCAACTTCAACTTATAGATAGGGATCATTGCCTAAGACACAATAATATATCTATACTTTGCTTTCACCTCAGTTAGGCAAAGTCTTGTCAATGTTCGAGAGTGTCTCTTACCCCAGATTGTCAGCCATAACTTTCATTTTTTTCTTGACTTCATCAACTGGAGTCTTGTTTTTCATTGTTATGACGTCACATCCGATAAGCCTGGATAACAGTCTATTACCTTCCAAAGAACTAGAACTCTCCTGATAGTTGAAGTAATATTGATGAATTTTTACATTTTCGAAAAAATTGATTCTCTAAGCAACGGTAATTTTCAAATATACAAAGAAATTAGTAGTGGACATCTATAGTAGTTACTCAAGCTACGCAGCGCTCCGATAATGCCCWTCTTAACCTGTACAAATAGATCCTTTCGGTCGTGTAAACACCGATCATGGCCAATGGGCATTGTCTAGAATATCCTGTTTTAGACTAGTACAAAATGCCTTGGACCATAGAATTATTCAGCTAGCATTTTAATTTCTCCTTTATTTTCACATCCCCACCTCACCCCTCACCCCCCCTTGTTTTGGATGTCTTAGCATGCTCAATGACAACATTGGATTTAGGGGGTAAGGGTGAGGGGATGAATTTGTCCGCGGGTGTTCCTTAAAATAAGGAAATTCGCTGGAATGGTCGAAGGATTTTGTAAAGGATTGTAGTTACATAAACCTACTTGCGAAAACGTTGTCATATAAAACAGGACATTTGTATTTAGTAAAAAGGAATAAATTAAAAAAGACAAAAGAAGATCACTGAGGCTGAACGCTCTCTTTTGTCTTGTCTTAATTATTCCTTTTTTACTAAATTCAAATTTTCTATTTTCTATGACAACGTTTCTGCAAGTAGGTGTATGTCATAGAGGAATATAGAATATTCGTACTTTGGTTAAAAGAAATACACCTAAATACTACAAAAGTATTGAGTACTGAGTTAGTACTGAGTTTATCTTCTGTTGCTGTGCATTTTCGCGTATATTACCTCTGGTTTCAATATCAAGAAAAGACAAGTGTCCATCCCAAGCTGCCTTGCGGCGATGGCCGTGGTTCGACAATGGTTGGAATGCAGCACACCATACGTTATGATTGTTTTGCAGTATTGAGAAATGGCGTCGGCAAGAATAAATTCCAACTTACGAACCTAGAAGTAATTTAATTTTTTTTTCAATCAATTAACACAATCAAACGAGAATCTAGCCTACCTTTCATCCGCGGTATTTAACTTGAAATTTCCGGGATGCAACCCAGGCAAAACGAACATTAGAATTTTAAAGCTCTATCTAAAATAAGAAGTTTKCTTGCCTTGTTTCCACTCAAAGTGCTGCCGGTCATGTCTTCGCGCTTGATCCCAATCTTAAACCCGTTGGACACGTCCTCCAAGTTCCAATCCGTGATTGGTGTATTGTCCTGGGAGAGCTGGACACGTAAGCAGCAAAATATTTGAAATCCAATATATTATACACAATATGGTCACCAAGAGTGACGGGTCAAAATGGTGAAAACTAGTGTGAGCTGCGTCGGTGTTTCTAAAGAAACAGTTGTGTAAAATGATAAATTTAACACCGCAAAAATGTAGGTGAAACAACTTACTGACGTTTCGGATGTTAATCCTTCGAAAATACTCCGACGGAGTTTTAACGTTCGAAACGACAGTAAGTTGCTTCACCTACTTTTTTACGGTGTTGAATTTATCTTTTTAAACAACTGATTCTAGAGTGACAAATAGAGCATTACGTCCAAACGACTTGTGATAAAAGGTTAAAGCATCAATATTGGTTTTGTGTTCGTATAAAGAACATGCAAAAAAAGAACAACAAAATTGTCCGCTAAGACAAGCACCGCTASGAAAATTACATGATTGTTGCCATGATAAACCCGATATAATGATATTTCTTGGCAGTCAGATTGCTGTCTGATGTTGTGCCTGTGAGGTAACCAAGCTTTAGTGAAATTTGAAAGCAGAATAAGAACATTAAATAGCCGTCTTTCAATCAGTATGCCATCCAAGTCAGGCCAACAAACTCGTTAGAGCTCCAAGATTAATAGGTTTAGATGCCAAGAATACTGATTTTACGGAATCAATGTAAACGCAAGATACCGTCGGGTGTAACAAAACATCTGCTTTATGTTGTTCCATGACCTTTTTCATATCTTTTTAATTTATTTCTGATATATAGTTACCTTGACAAAGTATCGTGGAATATTGTTCAGGCTCTTTGCCCATTCGGGAGGATGGTAGGTGTGCAGGATGCAGTTATTTTCCATTCTGTACTGTTCTTCGACTAACAATCAACTAATCAGAATGCGATGCATCTCAATGCAAATCACGCGATATGAATACATTAATGATTCCAGATGAACAATTCATAAGGGTGACGAGGTTTATGATAATCTTTCTGCTCTCTGTTTCTTCTCACCTATTCTTTGGGTGATTAGCATTCGACAGTGGGAGATAATTCCAATTTTAATCAAATGAATTATTTGCATACGTAGCAGTTTTTAATTCACAAACCAATGACAATAATACTGTTACTAAAGCTGTACAAATACAGATCTTGTTCAAATAATAAATCCAATACTCAATAATTACCGTATATGAGCATTATTAGCCAGGCTTCCGCCGACTGCGGACTGCGGTTTGCTGCCTGGATTTTTCGGTCTGTGGGCTAACATTTGCGGGCTGTGGGATAATATTTTCGGTCTGAGGGCCTAACATTTGCGGGCTGTGGGATAATATTTGCGGATTATATAATTTTTCATATACATTTTTAGAAGATTGTTAATTGTTTTAACTCGAGTTTGTGTATACAGTGCGGCGTGTTTATGAATTGATAAAGGTACTATTTCAAAAGTTAGCAAGAAAAAAATCCGTGAAGGCCTTATGTCTGAGTGAAATTTTTTTAAATTTTGATGTTAAAATTAGCTCCCGTATTTGTTTAAGAATGGTGACCATTATTAACTCGAAGATTGCGAAGCAATCGAAGAGTTATAGGAGGGAGATAGATGATGGTGTGTGAGGTGAGATGGACTAGTTAATAGGTCACTTATTTTTTTTCTGTAAACATACGGGCATTTAGAAATCCGTAACCAAGATGGCCAGGTGTTTTGATTTTAAACACACAAAATGTGATTTTTGAGGTCTGGACGTTCTTGTATAAGCTTCTTACCTATTAATCTGTTGATTTCAGAAGTCGTTTTAGGAGATATCGTGTCAATATGGCTCATAGATACAGCATTAATTCTATTACGATGATTTCAAGGATTATTCCAATATATGTCGATCAGTATTTAATGCTCATCGATTCATATAAACTTTATCCTTCGTAAAAAATCGATGCACGGACAACACTACAACAAGTAAGAACGCAAAATATAAATTTAACGGTCAGCATTCAAAGAGAAAGTATCATCACTTCAAACTATGAAATTGTGATGGTGTTGATAATTCATTGTCGATATCGTTAAGGTGTTACGGATGCATATAAATTATTAAATTCAAAATGTCAAGTTCAATATTTTTATTTTATAGATTTTTTTGTCGAAATTACACCACATCTAAACAAGAGTTTGAGGTTTCATACAGATTTTTGTCCACGGTATACTTGTCTAACAATCTTCGAGTTGTGTCGCCATTGGCGGCTTGATTTTTAAATGCATGAGTTCAACTCGTTCGTTTGCGGTCAGTGGTGATTTGTCATCCATATGAAACGGATTTAATTTTTTTATGGGGTGGGTAGGCATTAATCTACGAGAGAACGAAAGGACGGACGGTTGTCTAGGGCTAACAAGTATTYAATTCTTCTTGTCAAACTACTGTCACTTAAAAAATCCCAAAACAGCAACGTGATAACTTTATATTTCCTTTATTWTTACATTCATAAGTTATATAACAMTTACAGTGCGGCTATCGGGACCGGGGCCAACTAGAAAAGTGAAGCACTAACCACATATTACAGCATTCAGCTGAAGTTTGAAATTACCGTGGGAACGCTGCAATTTGATTGGTCAAATGCTGTTATTAATTCTATCATGCCTGGTTTTTGCTTTCATATGATTGGTTCGCTTTTTTAAGTGGCCCCGGTTTCGATAGCTGCACTGTAAGGGTTGGGAAGCAGTTTATTATTTGTTGAGCTTATAATCTGAGCAGTATTCCCCAAAACTATTAAAATAGTAAAACATTCTGAAAACGTWCCCAATACCTTCAATTGTACTAAAATCATTATTGTCCTATTTCATTATGACGTCACAGTATGTATACATCGGAAAACGATGCTCAAAAACAGTGGAAATTTGGACCCATTTATATTGTCGACTAAAGTAGAACTTCAATGAATCGTGTTTTGATATACATCATGTATTTATGATTGTTCATGTACATTTTATTTGATATGCAGTCACCCTGATCCGCTTCTGGCGACCATAACACTTAGCGTTAAAACAATAGAATGTTTTGATGTGACGTCATAATGAACTAGGGCAATTAAAATTTATATGTGATTTTACAAAAACACTTAAACTCAAACGTGACCCACGTTTTTGACTACTTGGTTTGAAGCTTAGGTTATAAATGTTGGCTAGGTTTTGATTCGGTGACCTACAATCGTTGACAAAATCCTTGGACCACTCCAGCGAATTTCCTCATTTTAAGCAACACCCGCAGACAATTTCATCCCCCCTGACCCCCTAAATGCAATGTTGTTATTGAGCATGTTACCACAGTACACAAGCATCCAAAACAAGACCCAACATTGATGAAAGGGGCCTAAGGGGGGAAAACTGTGATAAAATAAAGGAGAAAAATGTTAGGCTGGAGACAAATAATTGTACGGTCCAAGGTGTTTTGGCAACGATTGTAGGTTACGATCTGTAAGTTCAGGGTTGGTGTAGGTTTTTATTTAGTGTTTGTCTTTTTTTTTTTCCTCTGGTTTCAAGTTTTTTTTGTTTTTTTTTAATGAAAAAATTTATTATATACTATCAAATTTTAGATCTATTTACATTTCAAGAGTGCTTAGCTAAGCGAAGCACACAACATTTTTTTTACAATTAAGGAGTACTTGGCAGTAGGCCAAGTACACAAGACGTCCGATATGATTTTTATTTACATGTAGAGAGTGCTTGGCTGTAGGCCAATCACACAAGATTTTTTATTTACATTTTAACGAGCACTTTGCTAGGCAAAGCACACAAGATTTATTGCTAATTCAATCACTATTTTCYTACAATGCAAAATATGAAGTTGTCGATCTAAATCCTAATTTCTGTTTTGAGAAAAATCAAGATACAAGGAAAAAAAAAACACAAAAAGAGGAAAAGAAAAAAAACACATAGATAAAGTAGCAGTCCTCAAAAAAAGTTTTAAAGGAGAAAGGTAAAAGGCATACATGGCTAAAAAAAAAAACAAAAATAGATGATTTTTAGATTTAGGAGAAAAATGCAAAATTAGTTATCACGAGATTATTCTGGCTTAGAATTGCTATATTGGTAAGCAGTCGTAAAAGTTGATATAGAGTTATTAAAATTTTCTATTTTGGGTRCAATGTTTGAAGTTTTACAATTCCAGATAAAATATCTGGCAAAAAGTAAATAAAAATGTTGGTTTAAGTTTTGTAAGGCTTCGGGTTTTAAACCCATATATATATTTCTGGGTTGAAAGGAATCACACTTTGAAAAATCTGTTTTTCGTTTAACTGTTCGTATAATTTTTGCCAAAAGGAGCAAGTTTTCTTACAGAGCCAAAATATATGAAACAAGGTTTCTCTTTCAGAGTTASAGAAGGTACATAAATTATTTGATGCTACACCTATTTTATAAAGAAAATCATTTGTTGCTAGTCGTCTGTGCAAAAATTTAAATTGAAAAAAAAAAAAAGTTTTGAGGCTTTAGTGCAACGAGAAGGCAATAGATAAACAGCTTTCCAGTTAATACTTTCTGTTTTAAGATTGCAGTCTTGACACCATTTTGCTTGACTTTTATTGTTTGGTTTAGGTTTGGGACTCAGRCTAGGTTTTTTTCCAGAGTTAGTCACCAGCTACTGCCACCCAAATTTGATAACCTATCTGACAACACTGAGACACAAACAGACCCCAATACATATTACATCTGGCTATRCGTACAGGCCTAGTTCACTACCCGCCATACTCTCGACTTTGTGCAGTTTGCTGAAAATACTTGAAACGTTTTATTTTGGGAATACCCTCCCAATAACTTTGAGCTTTTAAATTTGTTTGTGCTCAATGCCTTCATTAGGATTATATACATTAAGAAAACGTATCTAGATAAATTTGAACAGAAATAGCTAATGCATTGCTATGATTAATCCCGGGGGGGATCCCAAATATCAAAGGGYGGGGGGTCCTCTGTGGAAATTATGAAAATGACACCTAAGAGGGACCTGTATTTGGAGATGATGGGCGTGGTAGTGCTGAAATTTCCCCCCTAAAAGGGACCAATCAARTAAATGTAATCTCGCCTATTAAGGAGTGTTGAGTGACAAGACGTGAAATTGATTAAAATAAAATCAATCATCTAATTAGCAGCTCAGATTTTTGATCTCATAATGACGGCTTAGGGACGTCATATACCCTAAAAGGGACCACAAAACTCAGTTGGTGGGAATTCTCGTCATCATCACCCTAAGTGGGACCAAAATACCGACTTCAAACCCTAAAAGGGACGCCGAGGACCCCCCGCCCTTTGATATTAGGGAGTCCCCCCCGGGTGATTAAGCCAAAATCCAATTCTAGGCAACAATTTCATGCCTAATTTTTTCCTCCAAGCACTMTRAAGTCAGTATAACAGTAGTATGTTAAAGGGCGACGGGTTTCATAGATCTTGCTAGCAACTAATATTCCATTACATCGTGATAGTGACGTCATCGCCAATTAAAAAGAAGGCAGCCCAGTACATTGGATCCTTGTATTTCTCTAATTCTCTCATCTCCTTCATTGCTTGCTGTAGGCTGCTACTGGCACTCTCTCCTTTCTTTAGATGTGAATAGAATTTCACCATAAAGAGCATAGTAGCTTGATCATCAATKGCCCACAAGGACGCTACAACGGCTCGAGCTCCTGCAGCAAGAAATGCTCTAGTCATTCCAACTACTCCTTCTGCTTTGATATCGCCTCGACCACTATGGCAACAGCTCAATACAACAAGTTGAGCACGAATTCCACTTTCTTGTGCTTCCTTCATCGTCAAAATGTAGTCTTTCTCTTCTGGGGTATTTGTGTTTGTTGATGAAGGTTTAGAAGGGGCCAGCAAAATCTCTCCATTTCTCGCACTGCCATGAGCAGCAAAGTGAATAACAGACACACCATGTTGCAGTTTGCTTAGGACTGTTTCTTTTGTTGCCTTCTCTCCTATCAAAGGTTCTACTCCAAGTAGTTCTCCTATCTTTATGGCTTCGTCTCTTGCACCAGACAAAGGATAGATATCTCTCTTTATCCCTTTATACATGACTTCACCGACGGCAGGATCTCCAATAATCAGTGCGCCTGACTAAAGGGTGACAGAGCTATAATTACTATTATGGTTAACAGAAACAGAAGAATAATTTTGTAATGTTTCATTAGGACGAGGCAATTATATTCGTTGTTATATCCTTTAAGACAATTTTGAACTATTCAAGGGCATGCAGCGGGACTAGTTTTGTAAAAAGGGTACGTCGAAGGGCGTGCGCGTTCAAACTCCTGGGGTCACCCCTTGTCAAACACTTTGCCAATGAAAGCATTTTTCAGTCCAAYTTGGTCCACTGTGATTATAGAATGTTTGAATTTTGTACGAAGCAAGTGTTTGCTGATCAGTCATCAATGATGTATCGTTTGTGACATGAAGCCAGATAAAGAAAGCTGACTTTGGAAAAATAATTGAAAATCAACTCATATTTYGTGAATGTCAAATTCAATGAATATTCATACTTAGAGCAGAGATTTAATTTCAGGWATAATGTTCGTTAGGAAACTTTCGCCATGATGGATCGAGAGTAAAAATAGCGAGAAAAAGTTCGGGAATGTTGCCTGATATTCTAAATCATGGCCAGAAAATCCKGACATATGAKCCCGCAATCGCAGCGGTACTTCGCATAAAGCACAAAAACATGTTCGTAAATTTTACAAAGAAATGTACGGATCAAAAAAATTATTTGAGAATAACATTTCATGTTTTACCTGGAACGTTTTCCAAGATGAATTCCTAGAGGGAAACTATTCCTGATTCTACTGCAGGAAATCCAAATAAATACAATATTGTTAAGAGCGTCCTTTTTGACAAATTTATTTTCCTTTCGTAGTCTCCCTTTGCCCTTTGTATCTCATGGTGAATATCCGCGAAGAAGCGAAATTTCACCGTAGCTGATCGYGTTTCTTTACATGTCACTGATATTTAAAAGATTATTTCGCAAAGTCCACATATTGAGGTAGAAACACAGTGATTTTCAGCTATTTTGAAGACGATAAACAGCGTCCTTTTTGGTACTAGAAATCGTACAATTTGAAAACACTAACTTGACGGTGAAATGGCTGGCGAAGACTCGTGTTTCACGCGATTAATTGGCCTCGATCTTCCATTTTATTCGCCATGTTTAGTACCAAATTAAACCTTAGAAACGTGGCTTTCAGACTGGGTCTGCGCTATTTAGTGTAAACAATGCCAGACCTTATAAATTCCTTAGAAATGTACAAGTATAAACAAAAGATCACAATATCAACTGATGACCATTGTTTAAAATACCTGAGGCAAACGCGTGTTCCATCAAATAATATTATTTACACTATGAACATTCCAAACGAGCACCTCACAAGCCACTAATGAACTCAAGGATCAGGGCGTGCTATCCCAATACTCGTTTGTCGATGCTTTCAACGTTTCGATTTTAACCCAGTATTGTATTAAGATAAAGGATCGTTACACAAGAGTAGAAAATTTGATCTTCAAAAGTTCAAACCTTGTCAAGGGAACTTGTAGAAAGCTCTATTTTGGTGGGAAAACCCGCTGACTCGTGTCGGGCTCAAATGTCCGGAATTTCTGACCATGTCAATGAACATGTACTATATATAAGTCAAACTTATCCACAAACAACAGAGTCTCAATTGATGACTTAGCACTTTACAGTGAACATAGAAGATATTAGAGCAATAAAAGTACTATTCCACGATTTGCAAGAATCGTGCTAAAAATGCTTTTTTTCTGCTGGAGTATTAGTATTTACTAATGTTTTGGACAAGACATGTGGATAGCATGTCTTACCTTGTAGTGACGATCACCTGAAGAATCTTGTAGAATTTTCAAAGTCGTCAGAGAAGGAGCCAAGCGAAGGCGTTTGGTTTCAGATAGAAAGTTACCCGTCTCTGGATCCTGTAGAGCAGCGAATGGTACCATGAACAAAGGTCCATCCGGAATAATGACAATTTCCTCTGTGGTCAGCTTGTCAAGCACTGGGGTAACTAATCGATGAAACAGCATTTCCAGTGGCGTACCATCGTCTTCTTCCATGTAGACACATCTTAGATATTCGCGACAAACTTTGAATGAAAGTCCGATGGGTTTTGAAGSGGTAGTTTCACAGGACGCAGAGTAAARGTTTTCACTCTGTAGTGACTCCAACGATCGGTCCTCACATTTCGTTTGTACTCTTACATTCATATAAAGAAAGCTGTCTTCAACAAGATGTTTCAAATATAAATTTTCAATATTCGTTTTCTCATCTTGAGACAGATTGGATATATATTTTTCCAAAGCTTCAAGTTCTGCTTCTTCATCATAAACGAAGATTGAATTGGATCGAGAAGATATAACCCAGAATCGGGTTGTCAGTTCGCTTTGATGAAGATCATAGAAAATAATACAGTTATCATTACTGGACGAAACTGTCTTGACATCATCTAACTCCAACTTTTTTCGTTTTGAAGGASAYGTTTCGTTTTTGTTGTATTGCAGACGTAAGAGATCTCTTAAAGCACGAGCCCGTCCTCTTTCACATACCAGAAGAGCCTTTTCTATCTGTTTAGTTTTCAGTTGAACTTCGCTAAGACGTTTGTATGCTGTAACATAGGTATCCACAAAAGATATCTTCAATTGGTCTTTTTCTTTCAAGTCATCAAATATCTTTTCATAGCAATCAATGCTGTTTTGGAGATTTTCTTSAGCTTTTTCAAGATTTTTAATGCTTGATTCTTTCATGTAGCAAATTCCTATGGGTGAACAAGTACATTCATGTCAATCATTCAATCAATAAATTAATAAATTAATTAATCAATCAATTAATCAATTAAGGGGCTACTCTCTTTCGCGGGKCGCCTCTGTAAAAAAATCATATCTTGGCTTTTTTAAATAATACCTAAACATATTATACATCGTATTGAAGCTAACACAACAATCTAAACGTCTATGACATTGGTTTGTAATAATAATTGTTTAGTAATTAATTACAAATTAATATTCAAACATTGAGTCAAAATTTTTAAAAAGTTAAATCGAAAAAAGTATTTATTTTTTCAACATAGTTTGAACGGTATATTGGTTAATATATATTAAACTTAAAAAACGTGCGAGCGTTTTTTGATATTTTTTTTATTTGAGAAGTTATTGCCATTTGAATTTGAAATTACGAATCCTTGATGTGAAATTTGATATTTGACCACATGCATAACTTCAAAACGAAAATCTATAAATCCAAAAACGCTSACACGGTTTTTTAATAAACGATRTCCATTGAAAAACACCAGGTTTTAATGCAAACATTTTTGCGAAATAGCGTCTCAAAACAAAAATCGCGACTTAAGCTTAATAATTTATTAGAAAAGTCTTGTAACTGAGGAGGTTTTACAATAAAACGAAACTAGTTTTACAGACAATASAAGCTGATCGTGCGTCAASACCGAAWAASTCAAGCCTTAACATACTTGAGGAAATCAAGATGAAATTAATATCAAAGTCTTGCGAGGACAAAATACTAAATATATCAAAGACTTTTCTAAACCTCTTAAGGATTTCAAAAATGTTGGTTAGCCGAGTATATCCGGGGGGTGCATGGGAACCCCCCTCGTGTACGTAACGTGACTATTTATTKTGTGACATTATTGTGTCAGAAAATGTTCAAAACAAATCCCAAAATATGATTGGACCACACTACTAACATGTCAAAGTAAGCGTTTTTATTGGTTTATCAAAACAAAGCAATATGCAAATGTGCTATATTTGTAGCAAAAATTAACTTGCGTTCACTTTTGTTCAACTAATTTTACCACTGTGTATATAAATAACATCAAGTCCCTTAAAAAAAAAGTTAAATGTTTATTTCTGAACAACAAAAACATGGGCATTTGGAAATGAACAGGCGTGAAACACTCCATTTGACAAGCTTTTTTGGCTGCTTCTGGAGTCGACCTGCAGCGTAGCAGAGGATTGTGATTCTTCTACTTGACTTGAGGAAGTTCTTGACGCTTCAATGGATACAGCTGGTATCAAGGCATTCGACAGAACATCAGGGCATCTTTTCAGCGACTGTTAGATTGACGGCTTTCGATTGTAATGTGCGGCACTTTGCTTACTTGCATGGCCAGATATGTTCATAATGTGTCTTGTAGGAACTTCGGCATCCGACCACAAGGTAATGCTGGTGGCTCGTACACAGTGGTCTGTGTACGCCGATKYTTATATATTCTTCATCATCTGGGACAGTGTGTTAACTCCCAACGGGTTGTTTTCATACCATGTCGTTTCTTGGTCTAGTACTCTTTGTTTTGGTTTCTGGAAGAAGGCGGTTTGGTTGGGAGTAAGCTTTGACAAGTACTTTTTGAAGCACCAGAATGAAACGGCTTGTTCGTCTGTAGAGTAAAGCATGGTGAACTTTCCGTTGCTGTTTTTAGTAGCAATTCCACCCTGTTGGTTCTTGGATGACTCTTCATGTGTTATACATATATACTCTCTCCCATTGCCATCTTTTTTTCCACGCAAAAACTAGWGCTTTTTAGCTGCCTTTGCATCATGGTGATATCCGATGGCTCAATTATAGGCTTGTGTTTTGCTTTCTCATTTCCCTCCCGTCTGTTAAATCTAASCGCAGAATCTACCATTTTGTTGGAGGACTGGAAGTATGGATTGCCAACCAACTTGACGTTCGTGGCATTGGCTCCGAGATGGCGCTCAATGGAATTTCTAAATCCCAAAAGTGAAGATCGGCTGTACTTTTCTCCAGACGTATTTCTTACGTCAGCAAAAAACCTTCGGAGTATGCTATCCAGCTCAAAAACAGCCATCTCTAGAAAAAAAATGGGCTTTGTGATTTGACGCTCACGGCACCAATGTAGCAACAACAACAAAAACAGGATATTTGTAAGTAAAAACTTAACCACATTAAAGTTAAACACATTTTTCATTGTAGTTGAATGCTGCTAAAAAATGTATTCACTTTACCTTCAAGGATTTTTATCACCCATTTAGTATTTTTCTTTGTCCCTTTGGGTTCAGCGTTGAAAACGATATACTTTCTCAAAAGACAGCGAATCGCGGTGTGATTTTCTTGTTGTCTTCGACTTTTTCTAYTTCCTTCAAAAGTAATTCTTCACTTAAGTAACAATGCGCGCAAAAAGCAGGCAACTTTCTATTGTTCTGCGGCAATTGCAACTTCCCCACATACGAATGTCTTKGTTTTCACATCGATTATATGTCAACCTATGSGTAACACATTTTTAAAATAAAATGTGGATAAACTCTGTTTTGAAACAAAGTTTCTTTTGTATTAAAAGATTTTGTCCAATCATAAGCACTCAAAACAATAGCCAAAAGATGCTTCTAATTTGCTATGTTCCCCACATAGAATTGCTATTAATATTAAAGCTAAGGAAAGCTTTCATGAAGTTAGAATCAGATATTCAATAAAATATTAAAAAATGCGATTACTTTTGAAATTATGTCAGATTTTAATGTTTTAACCRATGGGATGGATGGATTATACAATACACAATTAGCACCTTCATGCATTCCATTGCCGTTTGCTTGCCTGCTTCTTACTCGGACCATTACTTTTAAGTAATGATTTAAAAATCGTCTAAGGATATGTCGAAGTTTGGAACTGTTTTTGAGGCCATCTTTGTAACAAAAAAAGCGATAAAGAGCTTTCACAACATGTAAAAAAAATTACATTTTTCTTTGAATGACCAGATGTCTTTAGCATAGGTCTGTGCTGTCATCGACAATGGCTCTCGACCAATCAGCGCGTGAGAATTTTTCAAGTTGTGGTAAAAAAGTCATTCTTTTGCGCATTTTATCATATCGTATGACGTCATGACGTCAGATCAACAACACACCGTTTTAAGAAATTCTTTGGAGCCGAGGGTTATGGCAAAAACCATATCAAAGAATTGCCCCACAAAAGTTGTCCTTCGTTTAGCAGCCATATATGGTAATCTTACCTTATTTGGAAGTACGATAGGAATGGTTTTTGCCGATTTTCTCGTCTTTTAAAGTTTGAAATCGTCTAAAACTTGCAGATATTATAGCGAAAACACTTATCAACAATCGGCCATTTTGTTCGTTTCCATATATGGCACGAATTCGCTAAAGGAAGCCCAAAACAAAAAAGCACAGGGAACCCGCACGAATGACATACAATTCTTTGATATGAAAATGATGAAGGACTTCTGATCCAAGGAATTTGTTAAAACTTGGCCAGGGTGTGTCTTTTGTTTATATGAATTGAATTGTTATTAAAATTCTCATCGAAATAAAAATAAAGCAATTTTAAAAAGTGGACAAAAATTTTGTAAAAACAGCTCATAGTTAGTGGTTAGTCAATATGTAAATCACTATAATCAAATCAAATGTAATTCAAATGTATACTAGGTAAATGATTGATTACAATGATAAGAGCTTGGTCAAGTTTCAATCGATTTGGTATTTTGAAATAATGATAATGCACCTCAAATGCAGCAGTTAGCTAAATTCCCATCTCTCCAAATTCTGAGTCTCATACTAAATAACATTAGTAYCTTACCAATTCTATGAAGAACGGTTGATTCAAGCCCTCGGTTACCGATTTCTTTAGCAATGCTTAGACATATTTCATGATAATCAATAGCCCTGTGATATTCTCCTAATGAGCAATAGGCATCTCCTAAATTCCCGTAACTGCGTCCTTCTCCTGCTCTGTTACCAATCTCTTTTTCAATGCTAAGACTTTTTTCATGGTAATCAATAGCCTTATGATATTCTCCTAATGAGTGATAGGCATTTCCTAAGCTTCCGTAACTGCTTCCTTCTCCTGCTC